GGTCGAAGACTTGGTCAAACTCGCGGAGAAGCGCGCGCAGATGGAATCTGACGCGACGACGCCGTGGTCGGACGCGCGAACCAACCTCGCCGACGGCGGCGTCTTCAAGGCCCCGCCGTTGGATCCGGATGACCTGCTGCCCGCAAGGGTCGAAGGCCATCGCATTCTGAAGCCCCGTGTCGAGCTGCAGTCCAAAGCGTCCATGCTGATCTACGGTATTTACAATGTTTCTCCAGCCACTTGGGATCCTTTTGTGTCGCGCATGAAGGAACTGCGCCGAAAGTTCGGGGCGCGAGCGCGGTCGGCATGCCTAGAGCAAAACCTCAGCGCAGACACTGGCGCAACTGACAGATGTCACCTGCGCGGCTATTTGTTGTGGACAGACGGCGTTGGGGTGCGCGTGGAGAACTTGGGCCCGCTTGCGATTCAGACCGTCAGGCCCAGGATCGACTTCTGCGCGTGCAAGACGAGCACAGTCTGCCCGGGCACAGCAGCGACCCACGGTGCGCGGCTCGTCTGACTGCGCAAGAGCGGGGCGTTGTGCAACGCTGCGAACTGCGAGGCGGGTGCGTGGTATAAGCCCCAGGCAACATGCCTGCATAATCTCCACCAGGACAGGAAGCTCACGCACGAAAGGTACATGGAGCTCCCCGCCAAGGACTTCCCGCCAGGCCATTCTGCTCGCAAGCGCGGCGCCGCCGAGGACCCGCGCGACGCGAAAGCTTTGGCGGCAGGCAACCTTGTCTCCAGCGAGCTCGCATTGCTCCAGTCCAGCAACAACAGCCAGCAGCCACGCGCCCTCCCTGAAATTGCCCAACTTGCTGGTTTCGCGCGGCGAACTGGCGGCGGCCAGTGCTGCTCAGTGCTGGCGCGACGAGTCCGGGGAAGCCCATACTCGCTCCAAGCGTCTTGGAGCAGGTCGGCGACGCATTGGGCCTCCCGGGCGCTGGCTTCGCCGAAATCACTGAGGAAGACGACATGCACATTGACTTCCACAGGGAGCCCCACCGAAGGCCCCAGCGGGAAAGTTCGCATGACACAGCCGCCCCATTTCGGCACACCCCTCGCACGCTTCGTGGCCCCATACGGAGCTCCACCTCAGGACCCAATGGGAAAGTTCGCATGGCACTGCCACCCCTAACACGCTTCGTGGCCCCACAGGAAGCTCCACCGAAGGCCCCAGTGGAAAAGTTCGCATGGCACCGCCGCCCCATTATGGCACACCCCTCACAAGTTTCGTGGCCCCAAATGGAACTCCGCATAAGGCCCCTGTGGGCAAGCTCGCATGGCACCGCCGCCCCATTGCGGCACACCCCTCACACGCTTCGTGGCCCCACAGGGAGCTCAGCCGAAGGCCCCAGTGGGAAAGCTCGCATGGCACCGCCGGCCCATATAGGCATACCCCTCACACGCTTCGTGGCCCCATAGGGAGCTCCACGGAAGGCCCCACTGGCGACGTTCGCAGGCGTCCTCCCGACTCATGTCGGCACACCTTTCACACGTTCATACTGCGCGCACTACTCCGAGTTTGCGCGCCCCCCTCCTTCGTCTCATCTCCCTCGCGGCACTCGCAGCTGCATATGGTTGTGTCCTTCGTCAAGCAAATTGTCTGTTCCCGCGCGGGGGGACCGCTCCGACGATTGAATTCGCGCGTGTTTCAGCCTCGTTCCGTCGCACGTGTTCGCCGCGGGAGATTCAGGGCCAGGTTAGGGCCGATTCAGGATGTACCGCGGACCGATTCAGTATTAAACGCAGGGCCGACTCAAGACCTAGGAGTGGACTCGATCAGGATGCGGTCGTGTCTTCGATCCTGAAGCGGGCCCGTGCCCTCTATTGGGCGCTCTATTGGGAGCTCGATGGGGCGCTCTCTTGGGCGAGTGGTGGCTCCCTTGGGTGCTCTACTGGGAGCTTTATTAAAAGCTCTATTCGGCGCTCTATTCGGCACTCCATTTGGCACTCTGTTCGGGCGCTCTGTTCGGTGCTCTTTTCGGCGCTCTATTAGGCGCTCTATTCGGCGCTCTACTAAGCGGTCTATTAGGCGCTCTATTCGGCGCTGTTCAGCGCTCTGTTCGGCGCTCTGTTCGGCGGCTCTCTTCGGCAATCATTTCGGCGCTCTGTTCGGCGCTCTGTTCGGTGCTCTATTCTGCGCTTTGTTCGGCGCTCCTTTTCGGCGCCCTAATAGGGCCGTCGCAGATGTGAAATCGATTCCCAGGGATTTCAAATCTGCGGCGGCTTTACTCAGCGCTCTATTCGGCGGCGGTCTACTAGGCGCTCTATTCGGTGCACTGTTCGGCGCTTTGTTCGGCGCTCTATTCGGCGCTCTACGCGGCGCTCTATTAGGCGCTCTATTCGGCGCTCTGTTCGGCGCTCGGTTCTACGCTCTGTCTATTAGGCGCCTTAATCGAGCCGCCTCAAGTTTAGATTCCCTGGGAATCGATTCCCAAGGATTCAAAACCTGCGGCGGCTCTATCCGGTGCGCGCGCGGAAACCTTCCTTAAACCCCTGGGAATCGATCCCCATGGATTCTAGAGTAGTGATCCCAATGTATGCCACAACGCTTCGTGGCCCCATAGGGAGCTCCACCGACGGCCCCAGTGCTACCGCCCGCATGCGTCCCCCCCACCCAGTACAGCGCTTCGTGGCCCCATACGGAGCTCCACCGACGGCCCCAGTGATATCGCCCGCATGCGTTCCCCCCCACCCAATTACGCGCTTCGTGGCCCCATACGGAGCTCCACCGAAGAAGACATTCACACTTCCAGTATTCACAACTGCATATGGTTGGGTCCTTCGCCAGGATAATGCCGATTTTTCCTGACTCGAGAGAGCGCAGATGGGATCGGAGGCTTCTGTCTGAGAAGGCCTTCTGAGAACCGCCGTGCCCTCTTCGACGGCAACCTCCGGAGCAAAATTCGCTCAAGACCTGTCCCCGTCGAAACCCCCAATGGAGTCCTTGCCGGCCAATGGCACGAGCCGCGTCCAGCCATGACGACGAGAGGTGGAATGGCCCAGAAACGAGGTCGTCGGCTCCAGTCTGAGGAGGCATATATATATACACACATATATACATATACATACATACATACATACATACATACATACATACATACATACATACATACATACATACATGCATGCATGCATGCATGCATGCATGCATGCATGCATGCATGCATGCATGCATGCATGCATGCATACATACATACATACATACATACATACATACATACATACATACATACATACATACATACATACATACATACATACATACATATATATATTCACATAAACACAGGCACATACACGATCCTTGCTCAAGACGATGGCAAGAATAAGCCAAACTCTGTCAGGAGAACCTCGGACTCTCTGAGGCCTGGCGGGTCTGGAGGATGACACGGGCGCCAAGGCCGTCCCCCATCGGTCCAGAACGCTCTGCACCGATCTGGAAAGGGCTATCCTCTTCCCAAGCCTGCCTGACCGATCCTCGATCGGCAAGCAAGGAGGAGTACCAAACTGCATACGTAAGAATCAACCGTCGGAGGTACGGAGCTGGCGCTGGACACGCCCTGGCGCCGCCTTCAGCGCCCGGGAGGTGGGTCCAGCGCCGACCCAAGAAGTCCGCACGGACCTCCGAGAGCCGACGCTTGCTCAACGGTCTCTTGCCCTTCGGAGGAGGGCGTCCCCCCGGTCTGGCGGCACCCCCTCGAGTATGGGCAGGTGGGCCATGAAGCCCATGTAGTCCCTGTCCTCGATCCTGTCCCACGGGAGCGGCAGCACCTCGCGTCTGGGAGCCCCCTCCTCCTGCAGATCACGCCTTTTCCTGATTTTCCTTCCTTCCTCACTCAGGCAACCGAGGCTCAAGCTAGATTCGGCTCAAGTGAGCGAGCGAGCCAGCCAGCCGTCCCTTGCGTCGGTGCTTGAGGGGGTTCGGCGCGCCCGGAATCTCTCTTACGTAAGGCCTTGCCGCTCGCGAAAGCAAGGGTTGGTCGGATAAGAGTGCACATCTGCGCCTGCAACACAGATGAAAATAACCAAGGTACACGTCACGTTTCTGTTGAGGGCGGGCCAGAATACTTTTTCATCCTTGTCGAAACGGTGTTCGTGCTTGTCCTGGTCTCCACCCCAGGGGAGGGGAGGTGCCTTTCAAGATTGGCCTCTCTCCGACCCTCTCCTGGGCGAGTTTTTTTTTCCGTGGGAATTGGAAGTGGGTCTCTGGAGACTGCCGCTGCTCCACTGTTCCCAACCATCCTGTGGTGTTGGGTCCTCGTTTTGAAGAGACAGTGCCCCGCGTCACTCCTCCTCCCCTCTCCTCCTCCCCCTCCTCTTCCCTCCTCCCACAGGAGCGCCGCCCCCTCCTCTCCTCTCCTCTTTCCATGTCGGCACGCCGCTCACACGTTTCGTGGCCCCACAGGAAGCCCCACCGAAGGCCACAATGGCTGCGTTCGCACGCGCCCACCGCACCCATTTCGGCACACCCGATCACACGTGTCGTGGCCCCACAGGGAGCTCCACCGAAGGCCCAAATGGCTGCGTTCGCATGCGCCCAACGCACCCATGTCGGTACACCCCTCACACGTTTCGTGGCCCCATAGGAAGCTCCACCGAAAGCCACAATGGTTGCGTTCGCATGCCGGCACACCCCTCACACGTTTCGTGGCCCCACAAGGAGCCCCATCGAAGGCCACAATGGCTACGTTCGCATGCGCCCACCGCACCCATTTCGGCACACCCCTCACATGTGTCGTGGCCCCACAGGGAGCCCCACCGAAAGCCCATGCGCCCACCGCACCCATGTTGGCACACCCCTCACACGTTTCGTGGCCCCACAAGGAGCCCCACCGAAGGCCACAATGGCTACGTTCGCATGCGCCCACCGCACCAATGTCGGCACACCCCTCACACGCTTCGTGGCCCCACAGGGAGCCCCACCGAAGGCCCCAGAGGCTGCGTTCGCATGCGCCCACCGCACCAATTTCGGCACACGCCTCACACGTTTCGTGGCCCCACAGAGAGCCCCACCGAAAACCCCAGTGGCTGCGGTCGCATGCGCCCGCGGCACCCATTCCGGCACACCCCTCACACGTTTCATGGCTCCACAGGGAGCCCCACCGAAGGCCCCAATGGCTGCGCCCACCGCACCCATTTCGGCACACCTCTCACACGTTTCGTGGCCCCACAGGGAGCCCCACCGAAGGCCCCAGTGGCTGCGCTCGCATGCGCCCACCGCACCCATCTCGGCACACCCTTCACACGTTTCGTGGCCCCACCAGGAGCTCCACCGAAGGCCCCAGTGGCTGCGCTCGCGTGCGTCCACCGCGCCCATTTCGGTACACTCCTCACACGTTTCGTGGCCCCACGGGGAGCTCCACCGAGGGCCACAACGGCTGCGTTCGCATGCGCCCACCGCACCCATTTCGGTACACGCCTCACACGTTTCGTGGCCCCATAGGAACCTCCACCGAGGGCCCCAGTGGCTGCGTTCGCGTGCGCCCACCGCAGCCATTTCGGCACACCCCTCACACGTTTCGTGGCCCCACAGGGAGCCCCAACGAAGGCCCCAGTGGCTGCGTTCGCATGCGCCCACCGCACCCATTTCGGCACACCCCTCACACGTTTCGTGGCCCCACAGGGAGCCCCACCGAAGGCCACAATGGCTGCGTTCGCATGCGCCCACCGCACCCATTTCGGCACACCTCTCACACGTTTCGTGGCCCCACAGGGAGCCCCACCGAAGGCCCCAGTGGCTGCGTTCGCATGCTCCCACCGCACTCATTTCGGCACACCCCATCACACGTTTCGTGGCCCCACAGGGAGCTCAACCGAAGGCCCCAGTGGCTGCGTTCCAATGCGCCCACAGCACCAATGTCGGCACACCCCTCACACGTTTCGTGGCCACACAGGGAGCTCCACCGAAGGCCCGGGCACAGCCCTCATGCGTTTCGTGGCCCCTTTGGGATCGCTACCGAAGAAGATATTCACACTTGCGGTACACACGCTCTTTACATATCACGCTTGTTTCGCAGAATTCTATCATCGTCTACGGGATCGTTTTCCCGTGGGCGGGGAAGTTGAGGGACATGAGCGCTCGGCGCAAAATGGTGAAAGTGTATCATGGGTCGGGCGCGGTCTTCACTTCGATAGAATACTCGGGATAGCGTTATGGTGGTATTTTCGCTAATTTGACGCTGTATGCCTCTAGAGTTGGTCTCAGTGTGCCAAGTCACATGTATGAAAATTGGGCGGATTCGGCCGTGGCTAGCTAGGTGCCCAAACGCATGGGGGATCCTCTCTGGCCCTCCAGTCTCCCTCCTCCTCCCTCCTCCTCCTCCTAATCCTCCTCCTTCTCCTCCTGCTCCATCCCTTTCCCTTGCGAATAACATACACGCGGCCAGTCGGAAGGACGGGCCGGGCGTTTCGCCTGATACTCCCTCACCACTTATGAGCCTGAAGCTTTCAAACGGGCAAAAATTTCACAGATGGAGGGCGGGTCGCTCCCAAAATGTGGCTCCCATATTCGTACCGCGCAAAGCCGTTTGTAGAACTGTAAGAGCTTCACGGATTCAGGGCGAGTGGTTTTCAAAATGTTGCTCTCGCCTTAGGCCACGCACGTTCGCTTTAGAAATGTGTACGAACTGCATGGATTGAGGGCGAGTGCTGTAAAAAATCGGGCTCTCGCCTTAGCGCCGCGCACACTCGTTTTTTACTTACAAGAGCTTCACGGATTGAGGGCGGCTCCTTTTCAAAATGCAGCTCTCGCCTGAGCGCCGCGCACATTCGACTTGAGTTTCACTGATCCTGATGGACGGCGTACCAAACATGATGTTTTGGAACGGTTCTGCATTGTCAGGACGCAACAAGTACGTTGATTCGCGATGTTGAAATCCCAGGAATGGTGTTCTGGCGCGATTCCGGGCCGTCAGGACGCAGCAGTCGGGTAGAGTCGTAGCGTTGAACTCCTGAGAATGGTGTTCTGACACGCCGCAGGATTTTCACACGGTTGTCCCCCAACGGGGCACTTCCCTCAGTGGAAGTGAAACCTTGTAGGGGCCGACGAACAGGGAGCTTGGAAGGAGGGTGTATTCCAACATCGTTGTTGAATATTGGGGTTAGATTGGTCCTCCTCCTCATGCTCATCCTCCGTCTCCTCCGCCTCCTCCTTCTCCTCCTCCTCCTCCTCCTCCTCCTCATCATCATCATCATCATCATCATCATCATCATCATCATCATCATCATCATCATCATCATCATCATCATCATCATCATCATCACCATCCTTACGTTTTCTCTTCCCCTGTCCAAAAGGATATGTGCACTTGTCGCCCGTGCCACACAGTGAGAGCGAGCCGGTTGGGCACACGGATGCCGATCAGAAGGGGCCTCCCCCGAGGTTGGCCCGGAATTGCGCCTCCTCACACGCCGCCCCCTGTGCCGCTGCTGCGATCACGATGTCTTGGCCTCCGCGCTGGGGAAACAAAAAAGTAACGAAGATCCCACCAGCCTTCTGGGCGTAGGTGGTCTAACGAGTTTTGCCTGTCCTCTTCCACAACTCCTCTTCCCTTTGTGGAGGGGTAGCCTCCCCCCTCCCCATCCCTGAGGTTGTTTCCCAACCAGCTTGTGGTGTTGGGTCCTCGTTTTGGAAGTGACAGCGCCCCGCGTCCCAACTCCTCTCCTCTCCCCTCCTTCCTCCTCGTACCCGTGACTCTGCCCTCTGCACACAGCGGTGTGTTTCGTGACCCCATACGGAGCTCAAGGCCCCGGTGGCGGTGTCCACATGCGTCTCCCACACCCAGCACAGCGCTTCGTGGCCCCATGGGGAGCTCCACACAAGGCCCCTGTAGCGGTGTCCATATGCGTATCCCCCGCCCAGCACAGCGCTTCGTGGCCCCATTGGGAGCTCAACCTAAAGCCCCAGCGGCGGTGTCCGCATCTGTTTCCCACACCCATTACAACGCTTCCTGGCCCCATAGGGAGCTCCACCTAAGGCCCCAGTGGCGGTGTCCACAACTGTCTCCCCCACCCAGCACAGCGCTTCGTGGCCCCATAGGGAGCTCCACCTAAGGCCCCAGTGATGGTGTCCACGTGCGTCTCCCCCATCCAGCACAGCGCTTCGTGGCCCCGGAGGGCCATAGGGAGCTCCACCTAAGGCCCCAGTGGCGGTGTCCACATGCGTCTGCCCCACCCAGCACAGCGCTTCGTGGCCCCATAGGAGCTCCTGTTGAGGCCCTAGTGGCGGTGTCCACATTCGTCGCCCCTGCCCAACACAACGCCTTGTAGCCCCATTGAGAGCTCAACCTAAAGCCCCAGCGGCGGTGTCCGCATCTGTTCCCCCCACCCATCACAACGTTTCGTGGCCCCATAAGGAGCTCCACATGAGGCCCCTGTGGCGGTGTCGACATGCGTCTCCCCACCCAGCACAGCGCTTCGTGCCCCCATAAGGAGCTCCACCTACGTAAGGCCCCTGTGGCGGTGTCCTCATGCGTCTCCCACACCCAGCGCAGCGTTTCGTGGCCCCATAAGGAGCTCCACCTTGGGCCCCTGTGGCGGTGTCCTCATGCGTCTCCCACACCCAGCACAGCGCTTCGACATCCCATAGGGTGCTCCACCTAAGGCCCGAGTGGCGGTGTCCACATGCGCCTCCCCCACCCAGCACAATGCTTCGTGGCCCCATAGAGAGCTCCACCTAAGGCGCCAGCTTCGTGGCCCCATAGGAGCTCCACCTAAGGCCCCAGTGGCGGTGTCCACATGCGCCTCCCCCACCTAGCACAGCGCTTCGTGGCCCCATAGGGAGCTCCGCCTAAGGCCCCAGTGGCGGTGTCCACATGCGTCTCCCCCGACCCACAGTACAGCGTTTCGTTGCCCATGGGGAGCTCCACCGAAGGCGATACCCACAACTGCGGCACTCACAACTGCATATGGTTGGGTACGTCGGCAGGCAAATTCTGTTGGGGGTCGCGAGGGGCTGGAGCGTCCAAGGTAGCCCAAAATGGCTCGAAGTAGGCGTCCGATGCTCCAATCTGGCCTCCTATCTCAACATAGCCGAAGAGGGTTCAAGATAGCTTCCGACATGCCTCCCAGAGGCTCCAAATGTCCTCGGAGCCCTCTCGGGAACCCCCCAAGAGGCCAAAAGATTTAAAGAATCAGCAGAAATCAATGATAATTGCATTCCCGCTTCCAGTACGTACGCCTTGGAAGCCTCAAGATGACCCCAGCATGACCCAAGAGGAGCCCAAGAGGCCCCCAAGACGGCCCCAAGAGCGCCCCAAATCTGCACAAGAGCGCTCCAAGAGCGCCTCAAGAGGCGATTGTGAGGGCCCAAGAGGGGGACCCAAATCGCCCCCCCCCGCCCTCCATTGATCGATGGCCTCTAGATGACCCCAAGAGGCCCTCCAAGGCTCTAAAGACAGCCCCAAGAGGGCCACAAGACCCCCCAAAAGAGTCCCAAGAGGGCCCCGAGACCCCCCGGATTCCGCCTGAATAGGGCCCCGAGACAACCCCAAATGACCCCGAGATGGCTGCCACAGTCCGTGTCCTCGTCCTCGTCGTCATCCTCTTCCGCCTCATCCTCCTCCTCCTCCTCCTTCTTCATGTTTCTCCTCCGTCTTCTCCTCCAGCTCCTCCTCGTCCTCGGTATCGTCGTTCTGCTCCTCATCTTCATCCTTGTCATCCTCCTCCTCCTCGTCCTCCTCGTCCTCTTCCCCTCCTCCTCCTCCTCCTCCTCCTATCCTCTGCCCCTCCTCTTCGTATTCGCAATCGTGTCCTCAGTCTTAGTATTATCCGTAGCCGTATTATCCGTAGTAGTGGTGGTGGTGGTGGTAGTAGTAGTAGTAGTAGTAGTAGTAGTAGTAGTAGTAGTAGTAGTAGTAGTAGTAGTAGTAGTAGTAGTAGTAGTAGTAGTAGTAGTAGTAGTAGTAGTAGTAGTAGTAGTAGTAGTAGTAGTAGTAGTAGTAGTAGTAGTAGTAGTAGTAGTAGTAGTAGTAGTAGTAGTAGTAGTAGTAGTAGTAGTAGTAGTAGTAGTAGTAGTAGTAGTAGTAGTAGTAGTAGTAGTAGTAGTAGTAGTAGTAGTAGTAGTAGTAGTAGTAGTAGAGTAGTAGTAGGAGGAGGAGGAGGAGGTAGGAGTAGGAGTAGGAGTAGGAGTAGGAGTCAAGCTAGCCAGCTCGAGCGAGTCAAGCATGGCATGCCCAGTCCCACCCGCCCTCCCACAACATAAGAAGCAAAGCTGGCACAACTGGGGGCCGAAGTCACACCGGCCAGCCGGTTTGGTACAGCTGATGCGGCCGCGATGGCGGTTGCCGACGGGAACTGGCGAGCGCGTGTTGAATGCCGCGCACGCATTGCCAGACGAGTCGAGAATGGCCCGGTACACCGCAGGAAGCCAGAGGTGGCCGGAGGAAGCCCGACGGTCTGACAGGACACCCCAAAGCATTTTTGTGAAAAAGCATTGGGTTTTTGATGTTTTTATGTTGAAATGCTTGCAAACACACGGTGTTCGGTAGGATTCTGACATGAACGCGCGAGTGTGCTCTTTGTGGTATTTTTTGCACAGGATTCGCGGCCTGGGTGCATGACAGAGCATCGCGAGTGCACCGCGCGATGACGTGAAATCGCTGGATTTGACCGAATTCTTCAGATTCCTATGGTTTTCCTATGATTTCAGCAAGAGAGCCCGGGCGGGAAATTTGTACATTTTTTGTGAAAAAGCATTGGGTTTTTGATGTTTTTATGTTGAAATGCTTGCAAACACAGGGTGTTCGGTAGGATTCTGACATGAACGCGCGCGTGTGCTCTTTGTGGTATTTTTTGCAATGGATTATCGCCGTGGACGACAAGACGTCCATGTCGAGAGGAAAAAATAAAAAACATGTTGATTTTGTATTGTTTTTTAAAGGTTAGGATGGGACCCCCCGGATGCGGCCCCTAATGGCCGGCCTGAGGGGGGAGTAGGAGTATATTCTAATAAGGAATAAGGATAGTAGTAGTAGTAGTAGTAGTAGTAGTAGTAGTAGTAGTAGTAGTAGTAGTAGTAGTAGTAGTAGTAGTAGTAGTAGTAGTAGTAGTAGTAGTAGTAGTAGTAGTAGTAGTAGTAGTAGTAGTAGTAGTAGTAGTAGTAGTAGTAGTAGTAGTAGTAGTAGTAGTCGTCGTAGTAGTAGTAGTAGTAGTAGTAGTCGTAGTAGTAGTCTAGTAGTAGTAGTAGTAGCAGCAGTAGCAGTAGTAGTAGTAGTAGTAGTAGTAGTAGTAGTAGTAGTAGTAGTAGTAGTAGTAGTAGTAGTAGTAGTGGTAGTAGTAGTAGTAGTAGTAGTAGTCGTAATAGCAGCAGTGTTAGTAGTAGCAATAGTAGCAGTAATGGTAGTAGTCGCAAAAACAGTGGTAGTAGTAATAGTCGTAGTAAGTAGTAGTAGTAGTAGTAGTAGTAGTAGTAGTAGTAGTAGTAGTAGTAGTAGTAGTAGTAGTAGTAGTAGTAGTAGTAGTAGTAGTAGTAGTAGTAGTAGTAGTCGTAGTCGGTAGTAGTAGTAGTAGTAGTAGTAGTAGTAGTAGTAGTAGTAGTAGTAGTAGTAGTAGTTAGTAGTAGTAGTAGTAGTAGTAGTAGTCGTAGTAGTAGTAGTAGTAGTCGTAGTAGTCGTAGTAGTAGTAGTAGTAGTAGTAGTAGTAGTAGTAGTAGAAGTAGTAGTAGTAGTAGTAATAGTAATAGTAGTAGTAGTACTAATAGTAGTAGTAGTAGTAGTAGTAGTAGTAGTAGTAGTAGTACTAGTAGTAGTAGTAGTAGTAGTAGTAGTAGTAGTAGTAGTAGTAGTGGTAGCAGCGGTGGTAGTAATAGTGGAAGTAGTACTGCCCGTATGCCTTCATCGTACTATAAGTATCATTATTCGAATAATTATTAATACTAGTATTCGAGATCGTGGTATCAGTCGTCCGTTTGGCCGTCCTAGCGTTCTTCTTCGCATCCGAAGTATTAGTGTATGATTCGCATTCTCATTAGTAGCATTACCATTCGTAGCCTTCGTATTCGTATTATCCGTAGTCGCATTATGATTCGTAGTAGCCATCTGCATCTTGTTATGTTCATTATCATAATCATGAGTGGTATGATTAGCATTATCGTTAGTCATATATATATGTATATATGATTCTCTCTTATGGTAGCCATACTAATTTTGTTATTATCATAGATGTTCGCATTATTGTTATGATTATCATTCGTACCATTCTTCATATTAGTTTTCGATTTTTTGCCGCCTCATACATGCCGCCTGCTGCATTGTACGCTGGCCGCTCGTGGTTTCGGCTCCTCTGCTTCGGCATTGAGGCTCTCTGCAGGTTTTTGTTTGAAGTTTCTCCGCCTTTCTCGTTCGTCCTCCTCCACACTTGCGTTGGGCACCAGTGCGAGCCCCGCCAGGATGTAATGGTTCGGGGTACGCACGCGCGAGTATCATTTCAGCCGCGATGTCATTGAAGCATTCGCGCGACGCGGGAACTGGCTATTATAGAAGGCTTTCTCCGCA